GCCCCCCTCCACCCATGCAGCAAGAGCTACCGCATGGAGGACTGGCTGCACTTCGTTGAGACGTTCTCCAGCTACATCTTCAAGGGGGACGTGCTGCCCGAGGCCTTGCGGGCCCTGTGTTGGAGCCTGTGCAGCATGGTCACGCACTACTTCTGGCCGCGGCCCCCTGACGAGACCCGTGAGCAGTTCCTGGTGGCAGCCAAGGCGGCTGCATGCAAGCTCAGAGCTTACACGACCAGGCTGGAGGAGTTGGAGGTGCCGGACTACATGTTCACGGTCAACCTGCATATCTGCATATGCCGGCTGTACGACCAGGAGTGCCAGCTTGGGTCCGCGGCAGGGTTCTCCGACCTGCCGGTGGAACGCATGATGCAGCAAATGAAGACGCAAGGCGGAAGGATGGTGTCACAGGCACCCGAGAAGCACTACACGCAGTGGCTGTGCCTGATGCGGGCCTCCGAGTCGCTCACCGAGGCAGACCCCGCGACCGGGGCCAAACACACGACCAACCAGCAGCTTGAGAGGATGTTGGCACGGCGCGCAGTGAACACCGAGGCTGCCTGGTTTGATAAACCAGGAGCCAACGGTTACCTGCTTGGATGAGGCCACATGGTCTATCCGAGTCCAGAATGAGTGGCACAAGTCCGGGCAGCCATGGCGAGCCTAGTGCACTGGTATGCCCTGGCATTCGAGGATGTGGCTTCCTGGACATTGGGTCCCAGTGCGAGCTATGAACTGGACACGGACCGCCTGGATAGGGTTCTCATGTCTACACCACCCGACTGTCCCAAGGCCCGCTCCTTTTTGCGTGCCAAGGCACTCGACGAGGAGCAGTACTTCGGGGCTGAGTATGGGCGCCAGCAGCAGCGGACCTCCTGCTGGGCATGCTACCAGGCAGAAGTCGGCAACAAGACTCGGACGTATGCGGCCTACCTCAAGTACTTCGTCCACCTGCCCGCAGAAGATGGTGCTCAGGATGTCCGCTTCACTGTTGCAGATGTGTACTCGGGACAGGTGTTCAGCGGGGGGCTGGTGGTGGTCAACATGGCGGCCGCCCAGACAGCGAGGGTAGGCAGCCAGTGGGAGATGTGGCAGGACCTAGGGCTGCCGCTAAGTGAGCTGAAGGGCAAGTTCTGCACAGCCGCCCCGGAGGGGGACCGAAAGGGGCTGATGTACTTCATGCCATACACACACTTCACCAACCGCTGAGCAACCGCAGCAATGAGGCCGATGGATGCACCCTTGTCTGGTTGACAACGAATGACTACGAAAGTTATCCCATGCACATGTGCAACAGATGGCACGCATGTACATACATATGCAGGCGTATATGTGTAAAGGCACACTGGCAGTCCATATGCCCGTATGGAGTTTCGGTTCAGTACTCANATGGCTTCACATTCTGCATTGTTGGAAAGAGTGCCGACAGTGTAAGGTGCGAGGCAGACACCGCCACAGCAGTATCGGCGGGACTAGTACGACTGGTTGCTGACTGTCCAGTTCACTTGATGTGTGCTTGCTGGTCACAAAGTGGACGGCACCCACGTTTCAAAGGAGTGGCCCAGATGCGCCATCCCCTATAACAAACACGGTTGTTCCAAAAGGGTTACAATTGTGACCGAATTAACACACGTGTCAGCCATCATTGTCGCCCATGCCTTCACTTCCATGTGTTTCTTCTCCACCCATGCCACCAGCTTCTCTACTGACAGCACATTCCCCTCCGAGCATGCAGTCATCGAGCGGATACAGTGTATCCTTCTGCAACCATCCTTGAGACTTGTGCCGGTATGAGCCGGCTGCCTTGTAACCCTTTTGGAACCACCCAGACCACACAAAGGGTTTAAGACAATAAGCCTCCCATTGGGTATTCACCCTAATCAGCCCTGGCAGCCGGTACTCTGAATTAATGTGACACACACGTGAACCCGCCCCCTCCATCGTCAATCCCCATCATCACAAGGCCACCTGATTTGCCGCCTTAAGGCAAGCTTGTGTATGGCCCTCTACAAGACGGGGGGCCCGGTGAGGTCAGCCGCCAGTAGCTCCTTGTACCCAGGGCGGGAAAACACCTTGGGGTAGACGGGGCCGAATGTTAGCGAAGCAGCCTCTACCCACAGAAACCCCTCAATGAGCGTGCCGGTGGGCCACTCGCAGGGATACACAGAACAGATTGAACAGCGAAAAGAAACGAAGGTCCACGCGAACCTCGCAGACATAGTACTGATGGCGAGCTGGCGGTATTCTAGTATGGGCGCCGTACTTGTATACTTGCATGTCATCAGCCAAGTCTTATCATGACCTGCCTCGCTGTCTATGTTCTTGTATTCCATTGTTATACCTGATACAGTTTACACTAGCCACGACTCTAGGATACAGGACGGACCAATAGCTTCCGCGCCGTCTTGACCTGAACAAGTGCAACTCTATAGTTCCATAAGCTGGAAAATGGAACAAGACTTTCCCGGAAGTATTGAACTCCGGTGTGCTTTAGGGGATTCCTATGAACATCAGAGCCTAAACATGATACCGCTTAGTTTTGAGCCGGGAGGTAACATGATATCAGCTAGCATATTCAAGGAGCAGAATGCAATGTATTACTTCAAAGGCTGTTCGGGATCAGCCAGGAGGGCCTGGCCATCGGCGGGCCCGCGCCTGGCAAGGCGACCGCCACCAGCAACTTCATGACGCAGTTTCAGAAGAAGGTCTTGGACAAGATCCTGCGACCGTCGACTATCACTGCAGACCACGGTGCTGTGGCAGCCGCAGTGGGAGCTGAGGCAGTGGATACTGCAGCTAACGACGGTGATGGTGCAGCAGTGAGAGCAGCCGCTGGGGACCACGAACAGGCGGTGGGTGGCGGAGAGGCTGCTGCCATGGGCACGCATGCCGTGGATGGTGGCACGGGTGGCGGCCGCACAGCAGGCGTCGCAGCAGCAGCAACCGCAGGGGGGGACACCGGCACGGGTCCCAGGCAGGGCGAGGCGGGCTTTGCCCAGGTAGAAAACCTAGCAGTTTGGAACCTGGGGAGCATGTTTAACAAGGTCGAGGGGTGCTGATGGGTTATGTCAACTTTCAATGTCAGGGCAGCTTGTTGGGTCTTACCCTGATATTTCACCTTGAACGTAAGCACTGGGTGTTGCTGCCCCCCCCACCACAGGACGAGGATACCACCAACTACGATGCGTTCAAGGAGTGGGTCGGCGAGGTGCCAAGAGCGGCTAAGGGCGCAGCTGGCAAGCGCAGGCGGGGTGGCGGTGATGACGACGACCTGGGTGCGAGGTCGGGGCGCAAGGTTGGAAATAAACGGCAGAAGGGGAACAAGGGCGCAGGCCGGGGCAGGGGTGCAAGCAAGGGGACCACCAGAGGTGCGGGGAAGGGCGGCGCAGGCAAGGGAGGGCGGAGGGGGCGGACAGAGGAGGGTAGCTTGGAGGGTGGGTCGGATGCTGGTGAGGAAGAGGTCCTAGCCGCTGGCGCTGGGGAGGAGTCCAGCTCGGAGGACCCGGGCAAATATAGCGAAGCTAGCAGCAGCAGCAGTGGCAGTGGCAGCAGCGACAGTGGTGGAAGTGAGCAGTAACATGGCAGCAGTGATGAGCGCTTGGGGGAGCACACACCAGGTCGGCCCCAGGCAGGATGGGACAGACCAATCCCAATAGGTGCCAGTACATGTCATGCATCGGGGGTTTCATCCGTAGGAGTAGGCACGAACTCTGCAAGTGGTGGTGAGACTCCTTGGCGAGCACTTGCTGGTGGTGAGACTCCTTGGCGATCCGGAACCGCCGCTGGCATGCGTGGTGGTCGAGGGCGTGGACGCAGCAGCGGCGGGAGAACTGGGCGCGGGACAGGGCGCGTGGACAGCAACACAGGCGGTGGAGCCGAGGAGGCATTGGTGTCTGGAGAGAACGATGCAATTCAGGTGAGGAGTGTTTGCTCGTTTCCAGACTGCTTGCAACCAGGGCTGCCTTGTAACCCTTTTGGAACCTGGGGAGCATGTTTAACAAGGTCGAGGGGTGCTGATGGGTTATGTCAACTTTCAATGTCAGGGCAGCTTGTTGGGTCTTACCCTGATATTTTACCTTGAACGTAAGCACTGGGTGTTGCTGCCCCCCCACCACAGGACGAGGATACCACCAACTACGATGCGTTCAAGGAGTGGGTCGGCGAGGTGCCAAGAGCAGCTAAGGGTGCAGCTGGCAAGCGCAGGCGGGGTGGCGGTGATGACGACGACCTGGGTGCGAGGTCGGGGCGCAAGGTTGGAAATAAACGGCAGAAGGGGAACAAGGGCGCAGGCTGGGGCAGGGGTGCAAGCAAGGGGACCACCAGAGGTGCGGGGAAGGGCGGCGCAGGCAAGGGAGGGCGGAGGGGGCGGACAGAGGAGGGTAGCTTGGAGGGTGGGTCGGATGCTGGTGAGGAAGAGGTCCTAGCCGCTGGCGCTGGGGAGGAGTCCAGCTCGGAGGACCCGGGCAAATATAGCGAAGCTAGCAGCAGCAGCAGTGGCAGTGGCAGCAGCGACAGTGGTGGAAGTGAGCAGTAACATGGCAGCAGTGATGAGCGCTTGGGGGTGCACACACCAGGTCGGCCCCAGGCAGGATGGGACAGACCAATCCCAATAGGTGCCGGTACATGTCATGCATCGGGGGTTTCATCCGTAGGAGTAGGCATGAACTCTGCAAGTGGTGGTGAGACTCCTTGGCGAGCACTTGCTGTATGGGGGGTGACATGAACGCTGTTTTCGAGGACGATGGTTGAGATGAATGCATCAGGCTGTCAGGCTGGCTGGTTGGCGTTGTGAGTCCAAAGCGCCTTGGTCCACAAGCACACTGAGACTTAAGCTACTTTGACAAGGGGTGTGCGTCCATTTTGAGGCTTGCCGCAAGTATTCACCAATCGTTAATTTAACATGCAGTAAGCGTCACATCGCAGAGTAATATCTGCCTGTGTAACCCGTAATCACTGGGTCTTCACCCGTAATTTTGCGTGTAATTGGTTACATGCGCCCGTAATTCACCTCCAGCACCGCGTAAAATCCACCCGTAATCACTGGGTCTGCACCCGTAATTTTGCGTGTAATTGGTTACATGCGCCCGTAATTCACCTCCAGCACCGCGTAAAATCCACCCGTAATCACTGGGTCTTCACCCGTAATTTTGCGTGTAATTGGTTACATGCGCCCGTAATTCACCTCCAGCACCGCGTAAAATCCACCCGTAATCACTGGGTCTTCACCCGTAATTTCGCGTGTAATTGGTTACATGCGCCCGTAATTCACCTCCAGCACCGCGTAAAATCCACCCGTAATCACTGGGTCTTCACCCGTAATTTTGCGTGTAATTGGTTACATGCGCCCGTAATTAACCTCCAGCACCACGTAAAATCCACCTGTAATCACTGGGTCTTCACCCGTAATTTTGCGTGTAATTGGTTACATGCGCCCGTAATTAACCTCCAGCACCGCGTAAAATCCACCCGTAATCACTGGGTCTTCACCCGTAAATGTTCACCTGTATCCTTGTGCTCAAATTACGGGACCCGTAACGTGTTACGGACCCGTAATTTCTGTCAAATTACGGGTGGATTGACCCAAAATTACGGGTAAAATGACCCCCCTTTTCCCAGAGTGGTACGGATGCGTGTATGTGCAGGCTGCCTCAGCTAGCTACCCTGGCAGCAGCCAAACAGACGAGTAGCTAAAGCTGATGTTGGTGTCACTACTTCCCCAGCAGCTAGCCCTGCGTGCCGTACATATTGCAGCAAATAAAGGATGGGCAGGCCTTCAGGGAACTAACATAACCACATACATGGCAATAAAGATGCAAAAAGGAATGGCCTATGCGTGAATGAAGGCCAGGAGACAAAATGGAGACATATATGTGCAGATGGCCTCGTGGGCAATTGCCCACATTGCAATAATATTAATGAGTGCTGTTAGCAGGTGCTAGTAATCTTGTTGCTCAAGCGACATACGTTCCGCAGTAAAATACCTCATCGTTGTTGATGAGGGTAATGACAGCAGGAAGTGATGAATGCATCAGGTTATGTATGCAATGTTGCAACAGAGCGGCTTGGTTTATGGCAAAATCAGCTCCCTATCTGTAGTATCCAGCTGGGCATATCACGGGATCTGCATCCACCGTTCGGTTCTTTCCGGAAAAGACTCACGTCGTATATATATAATATATATGTATATACCGTCGTATATATATACCGTCGTATAGTATGTACGATAGTGTTATATCACGTCCGATGTGAGAACAAGCAAATTGGTGCTGGTGGCGGCATAGTATTAGACGGCATAGTTTCAGACGCACAAAGAAGTATAATGCATAATACCTCCTATCATATGATGCATGATGCTTTCCATCATATGATGGAAGAGCTTTGGTGATGATTCGTTCCCCGCTCTCATCATCAGCCTCTCTCTGCTCAAGGATGCTGTAGTAGCTGGTACACAGTACAGCGCTACAAATACTCGCGAAGCACGACCACCAGCATCTCGAGAGGCCTTTTCAGCGGCCAGCTACTACAGGTGCTATGTATGCTTGCCAGGTAGCGAGGTAGGGTGTGCTGGTCGGTAACTTCCTTGGTCGGCTGCACCAACATACGAAGTTCTGCTGAGTCTGCGCAATCCTGCTCTTTGTACACACGTGCACCCGCATGTAAAGTGGAGCCTGTAGCAGCTGACCGCTGAAAAGGTCTCTCGAGTTGCTGGCGGTCGCGCTCTGCGCGTATTTATAGCACCGTACTGTGTACTGGCTGCTACATTCCCCCCCCTTTGAAGGGAACCGTCCCGGGCCCTTAGAGCCTCGTATACCGCCAGCCTGTGCCTACCTTCGCCTACCCTCGGGCAGTGGGGTGGCCAAGCCCACGTCGCGTCATGCCGCCCTTCATGCGCCTAGCCTTCAGGTTTTTCAGGCACAGAGACAATCCAGTCGGTTCAGCTACTTTTTTTTAGTTTTTTTGTGCGATATTCGCTCACTCAGTCGCCACACCCGAAATACCACTCGAACGTGATCGGTGGGGGTTGAACCGACGACTTCAGGATCGTGATTTTTCACGAGGTCTCGATACCAAATGTAGCAGCTGACTAGACGCGGGCTGCTTCGCCCGCGAGGGGGCCGTAGTCCCCCGGCTGGGCGGCACGAGTACGACGGTCCGTGCGTATACTACTACACCCGTGTGGGAGTCGAACCCAGAAGTGCAAGGGATGCACCCAGCCGCGCGGGCGTGTCGTCGGACGGCTAGAGAGCCGTGCAACGCTGGCATTTAACGCCATCCAGTGGCGAGGCAGACGAACTGTTGGACGTGTCAGGTAGTGTTGGCTGCGGAGGTCCAACGTTCCTCTAGGTTTCTGGCGTGTTTGTACTCGGTCGTATAGCGTTCACGGGTTTCGGTTGCACGGCGATCGAGGAGGCGGAGTTCGGCCGCCAGGTCGGGGTCCAGCTTGGTTGCTGCCATGAACTGTTTGACGACTCATGTTCGTTCGTCGGGTGTGGTAGAGAGCGGGCGGAGGAGGCGGATGTGGTCGAGTGTCTTGTAGCGGGTGAGCAACACGTACATGGTTGCATGCTTGAGGCCACCGGGCGGGACGGAAAGGTCCGCGACCCAGCATTCTTCCTTGAAGCTACGGCCCTGTACGAAGTAGTCGGTGACGGCGTAGTAGTCACCAAGTGGTACATTGACTCGACGTACATTTTTGGTGGTGGTGCCGGTGTTGGCGGCTGGCACGGTGATGTTTGCTGCCGGTGAGGGCCGTGGTACGATGGCGAAGGCAGCACCTTTGGTTGCGAAGTCCGCTAAGTCTGCTAGTATCGCTTTGGGCGCGTGCCCTTTAATGGGACGGACCAAGACAGCTGCAGGTAGGTAGTGGAGGCGCCAGTACGGGCCGCGGCCGTCGTCGGGCGGTTCACGGCTGTCGGTAAGCAGGCCACACGCCTCAACTTCATTGTTGTGGCACGCGCCGGTGTCGGCAGCAGTGGTGTCGAGTAGGGTGTAGCGTGCACCCTCGTAGTACCAAGTGTCGGCGGTGGTGTGGTCGAAGGTGGCGTCTTTTACTCGCATTGCGACAGCCTTTTCGACGTGGGAGAGTGGCTGTTGTTGGGTTGCACCATGTTGCCTAACCGGGACGTGGTCCGCGTTCCAGCTGACCAAACACGCTCCTTTGCGGCGCGCCTGGAGCATCAGGAGGCGTGTGTTGAGCGCGTGCCTGGGTTCGTTCGGTTGCAGCACGACACGGGGTTCGAGGTCTGTGAGATCAGACAAATCCGTGATGACGCGTTGGTTGAGTGCGTCTACTAGATCTGCAACACGTGCTTCAGTGGGTTGAATGCCGCCGAACATGGTTGTGAAGCGGGTAAGCTGCTGGCCAGATGGGCTGTTGTCTTGCCGCTGCTGTTTCTGCAGCATGAATACGGTGCCGCCGAGCCGGGTTTTGACGGGCAGCAGCTTGTGCAGTGATGTTCTGTTGCTGCTCCGCAGCCCTGTAGTCCGGGTCTTGATGGGCAGCAGCTCGTGCAGCCGTGTCCCGGTGTTGTTCTGCAGCCCTGCGCCCCGGATCCAGATGAGCATCCCGCATCCGGGCTGCATCTACGCTGAGGTGCGTGTTCGACGCTCTTGTCCCTCTAAAACGAAACCCGCCGCCCAGTGTACCCAGGCGCTCATGACTGCGTGTCCCAGTCCGCTGGGGTGAATCATTCCGTCGGTCCACCATAACTGACGGAAGCTGTTTCCGGTCGCAATACCGCGTGTGGAGATAAGTAATCCGGGTGCGATATATATGCAATACAATCCTACAGTAGCGAACCGACTCCTGCAAAGAGCCCAGCTTCGCAAAAGGCCGTCAACTTACGTTGGCGGTGCCACCGACTAGTTTACGGCCGCCGACTTTCGTGTGATTCAGTTCTGAGCCGTAGTACCGTACATGAAGAGAAATAAAGTAAAAGTGTATGTCTGCGATGCAATCCTAATGTAGCGAGCTGACGGCCGTGGACAAGTTCATTTCACAAAAGGCCGTACAGTTTACACGGACAACGTTGGACAACCGCAGATGCACACTTCGGCGCACTCCTCGTCCATCGCTGAATTGTGCGTTGAACCGCGCATCGATTTGTGCATTTAATTGTGCGGTTCGGTGCGCGTTTAATTGCGCGTTGAATTGTGCATCGAATTGCGCATCGAATTGCGCGTTCAATTGCATGCTTCGGTGCGCATTGAATTGCGCGTTGAATTGCACGTTTAATTGCATGTCGAGTCGTGTGGTGGGTTGCCCGTTAAAACGCGCGAGTCGACGCATGTCAAATTGCGCAGTGCGGTGCAGTGCGGTGCGGTGCGCTGCATAACGAAAAGAAAAAAAAAGCGACGACGACGGGAAGCGACCGGCGAGCTGGACTCCCGCGGCGACGAAGCTAGCGCTCCCGAACGAAAAAAACAAAAGAAAGACGCGCGGGCGCCGGGATCGAGCCGGCGACTACGGCTCCCACACATCGATAGAGCTAGCGCGCACCACGAAGCGGTGCACGGCGATGTTCCGGAGCGCATTGCGCGGCCTCAGGTTTGGTGCGGTGCGATGCGGTGTGGTGCGGCGCGGTGCGGTGCGGTGCGAAAAAACGAAAAAAAGCGGCGACGGCGGGGCGCGAACCGGCGACCGCGGCTCCCACGCGGCGACGGAGCTAGCCTAAAAGGCGCGGCTCCGAAACCGCGGACAAAAAGGCGAAAAACGGCAACTTACCAAGCGGCCACCCGGACAGACAGACAGACAGACGGACGCCCCCCGCAGCCTAAGGTCTCCGTCCCGACGACAGCGAACTCCGGACGGAACGACTAAACGTCGTCCGTCTAACGTCGGGACTACGACGACTAGACGCGGGCTGTGTCGCCCGCGAGGGGGCCGTAGTCCCCCGGCTGGGCGGCACGAGCACACGGTCATGTTGTAAGTTTTAATGCGGAGAGATCCATGCGCAAAGTAGAAGACGCGTACGGCATAGTGCGTACGGCGTACGGCTAGCGCGTACGGCGTACGGTGTATGGCGCGTACGGCATAGCGTGTACGGCGTACGGCGTATGGCGCGCACGGCATAGCGCATACGGTGTACGGCGTATGGCATGTACGGCGTATGGCGCGTACGGCACAGCGCGTACGGCGCGTACGGCGCATATGGCTTAGCGTGTACAGTATAGCATAGCGTGTACGGCATAGCATAGCGTGTACAGCATAGCAGAGCGCGTACGGCACAGCATAGCATAGCGTGTACGGCATAGCAGAGCGCCTACGGCATAGCATAGCATAACAGAGCGTAGTGCAGCATAGCATAGTGTAGCGTAGCATAGCATTGCATAGCGTGTACGGCATAGTGTAGCATAGCATAGCTATGCTATGGAACTGGTTTGGGTAGCCGGTATGCTGCAATGGGAGCGGTGAAAGCCGGACATCGGTAAGGTAAGGTGGTACTGTTACCGTTGAAAACTGGTGCACGGCACCAGCACCACCACCTGACACAACGACCTTCAACCACGGAAGGAATGCCGTACATGCTTAAGACATGTAATTGTGCGTTGTACTGTGTGTTGGATTGCGTGTACGGCTTTCCTTGAATTGCGCATCGCACCGTGCATTAAATTGCACGGTGCATTAAATTGTGTGCACCGGTGCATGTTTGGATTGCGTGTAGGCTTTCCTTGAATTGCGCATTGCACGGTGTGTTAAATTGCCCCAGCACCAGCACCACCACCTGACACAACGACCTTCAACCACGGAAGGAATGCCGTACATGCTTAAGACATGTAATTGTGCGTTGTACTGTGTGTTGGATTGCGTGTACGGCTTTCCTTGAATTGCGCATCGCACCGTGCATTAAATTGCACGGTGCATTAAATTGTGTGCACCGGTGCATGTTTGGATTGCGTGTAGGCTTTCCTTGAATTGCGCATTGCACGGTGTGTTAAATTGCGTGCACCGGTGCACGTTTGGTTGCGCATTTCGGTGCGTGTTGGATTGTGTTAGAACACAATGAAGCAGTGCGCGCCGATGCATCGGAGCGTGTTGCGCGATCCCAGCTGCGGTGCGGTGCGGTACGGTGGGGTGCATGCTCCCGAACGAAAAAATAGGAAAAAATGTGCAGGCGCCCGGATAGAGCCGGTGACCGCGGCTCCCACACGGTGATGGAGCTAGCGCGCACAACGAAGCGGTCCGCGCCGATGCTCCAGGGCGCATTGCACGACCCCAGCTGCGGTGCGGTGCGGTACAGTGCGGTGCGTGCTCTCGAACGAAAAAAAAAAGAAAATACGCGAGGGCGCCGGGATCGAGCCGGCGACTATGGCTCCCACAGGGTGACGGAACTAGCACGATGACATAACACGATGAAGCACGACGAGCCGAGATATGGCGCGCGTGGTGAAGTGCGCGGCCCCAAACAAAATATAAAAAAACGCGGTATACGACCCAGCGAACGCGACCGACCGTGCAAACCGTCCCGCGGGTCAGGTTGTGTTGCGCATCACACTTCGGTGCGGGTTGTGTTTCTATTCCTTGCAATTCTTGCTATCGTTTCTACTCATTGCTATTCGTCATTTCTATTCGTTGCTACTGATTTGCAACATGGACTGACCTTGTATCGTGTAGGATGTGCAGACGAGGATGGCGATGAATAGCCATCGATGGGGATGAATAGCCATCGATGGCGATGAACAACCGTTGATGTACCGAGATGTTGTCGTCTGGCGAAAATCGGTTAGCGAGGCGATGCACGTAAAGAGGCCAGCTTCACGAAATACCGCGCAGCTTATGTTGGCGGCGCGACTAGTTTACAACCGCCAGCTTTAAAGCAACCGCTCAGCCGCGGTACCGTATATGAAAATAAGTAAACCGGATGCGTATATATGCAGTGCAATTATATTGTAGCGAGCCAACATCCGTGAACAAAACAGCTTCACAAAATGCCGTACAGCCTACACGGACAACGTTGGACAAGCACTGCACACTTCAATGCGCGTCAAATTGCGTGGTTCGGTGTACGTTAAATTGCGCGTTGAATTGCATGTTTAATTGCATGTCGAGTTGTGTGGTGGGTTGCGCATCAAAATGCGCGAGTCGGCGCATGTCAAATTGCGCAGTGCGGTGCAGAAAATGTTTTGCGATTTGCCCGTTAAATCCCTACCAAAATGAAACCGCTTTAAGAGCGCTCTCAACGCGATCTTAAGCCATATAAAGCACAAGTAGATGCCGCTGTTAAGAGCGTTCTGAGAACGCTCTTATCTGCCATGTTTTAAGATTGTGCCTTCTCAAGCGTTCTTAAGCGATCTCAAGAGAGCGCTCTTTGCAGGGAATCTTAAGCGTTCTCAGCGATCTTACCCGTTCTCAAGGACATTCTCAAACCATTTTCTCACGCATTCTTAAGCAATCTTTCACCACTCTTAAGCGTTCTTACACCGTTCTCTCACCAATCTTAAGCGTTCTTAAAGCGTTCTCAAGCGTTCTTACACCGTTCTCTCACCATTCTTAAGCGTTCTTACAGTGTTCTCAAGCATTCTTACAGCGTTCTCTCACCATTCTTAAGCGTTCTTACAGCGTTCTCAAGCGTTCTTACAGCGTTCTCTCACCATTCTTAAGCGTTCTTACAGCGTTCTTACACCGTTCTCTCACCATTCTTAAGCGTTCTTACAGCATTCTCACAGCGTTCTTATAGCGTTCTCACAGCATTCTCAAGTGTTCTTACAACATTCTCAAGCGTTCTCACAGCATTCTCAAGTATTCTTGCAGCGTTCTCAAGCGTTGTTACAGTGTTCTCAAGCATTCCGTCCCCCAGCATTCTTAAACCGTTCTTAAGGGCGCCTTCGAACAGAGGTATGCCCAACAAAAACCTAGGGCCACCATCTCGCTAGAGCCCGATTCTCACAGCAGACCACTTTCCCATTCGGGCAGACACACATATGAGGACCAGGTCCACCATGCCAGCACTTATACCTACAACATATCTACAATCACACGCTCGATCCATGCTGGAACTGCATATGGTACTGCAGCATACCAAATGAATGAGTGTTATGATGGATCCCTGAACGCGATCACAAGGCCTATGCTAAGGGGCTCGCAACTAGGCGCATGGACAGGACAGCCCAATAGCCAAGTACAGCCCCACACACCGCCTACACTTCCCACACCTAAGGTGGTTCCTAACAGGGCGTGTATCACTCCAAGTCCACCGCATCCAACTGCTTCTTGCTCAGCCCAGTGGTCCTCATGGCCCACTGGACTGCGGTCATCTTGCCCTTGACTGTGAGCAATCCCACAATGGGCCATCGCACCTGCAGACAGAAGCAACCAGAACAAAGTCAACACATGTGATGCAGACGTGGTATCACAGCTCAAC